GTTTAATGTTTATGAATTTTGTTGCTTTAATTTATTGCGTAAAACATGCACTGCTTTCCTTTTCAATGAAGCTGTAAAATGGTAATGTAAAAGGTAAAATGTGAAGAAGAGCAAATTCATTCGAATACAGAATAGAAAGTACTCAAGAATTTGAACTTATTTTGTTTTATAAACTAAAAACCCGTACAGTTTTATATCGGAAAAAGCAGTTTATAGTTTAATATTAAAATGAACATTTCAAAACATTTTACGAAGCGATTCACGTTAAATTTTACATTAAATCAAAGCTCACAAAATGCAGAACAACATACCTACAGTACATATTTCGGAAATTAATTTTTATATAGTTAAAAGCAATAATTTTTCAACTATTTTTGGCGTGTTGTACAAAAAATATAATAAAAATTAAATTTGTCCTGTTGCTGTGGCAACACTGACGTAAACGTGAGCCTGCGTTCAGTGTTGATCAATCATTAATACTTCATGTTAAATCAATGTTTGGAAAATACATGCGAGGGGTTGCTGCATGCATGTATTTCTAGTATTTCATTAGATGCAAAAAGAGCGACTTTGCTCCGTCCATTTAATCATAGTATTGCGGAACTGTCCATTTAGAACCATGTTGACTTAAGTCCGTTCTCCACTAGGCGAATTTTTTCGCACGACGCGAAGCGAAAAACAAATCTTGGCAATGTGATTGGTCAGCGAAAAAATTCGCCGCGAGAAAGTTGGATCATTTCCTACTTTTTTACTGTTTGCGCGAACAAATTTATTAAATTTGCCACTGAAAAATACGTACTTTACATATACAAAAAACTACTAAATTACCCTAGTAAGTAAAATGGCAGGGTCACCACAACAGCAGTTGCCAATTACCGTGGGCCCTATGTTTAAATATTTATAAAAAAACAATAATGAATGTTCTTACAGTTAAATGCAACAAGAAATTGGTTTGTTCAGTGGACGTCCTCGATTACACTTGATGCAAACTGTTCTGAAAGAGCGCGGATCGTCCCATTGATAATATGACAATGATGCTTTGTAATAGTTGAGCATGATTGTTTTAAAAGATATCAGGTTGTTAGTACTCAAACAAAGTTCATCTGCCAAAACGTTCCATACTCTACATGTTCGTACGAAGTAAGAACGCTGATATGTGGTTGTCTTGCATTTTGGCACTACAAACTTTATCACGTTGCTCGCTGATGATCTGGTCGACCTAGTGTTTCTGGCCGTAGGTATAACGGTATGATCTATAATGACTAGTCCGTGAATGATCTTGAAGAAAAATATCATATCCTGCAGTTCATGTCAGTAGGTAATAGGGATAAGATTCAATTTTTTCAATCGAAGAGTGTAATCTACATTAGAACTGTATGGTATGCTAAGAATATATCTCGTTGCACGCCTTTGTATGCGCTCTAATTTACCAATTAATTGGACGAACTGCGGAGCCCACACCTGGGTGGCATAACCTAAATGAGGTCGAATCAGTCCTAGATAGAGCGTACGCCTGATTGATACACCTTTGATATAAATGGTGTTTCGCTTAATATATCCTAAAAGTTTATTGGCCTTGCCAGCTTGTTCTGAGACTTGTTTATTCCAAGTTAATTTGTTTGTAGTCCATACACCTAGATCTCGTTCATCTTCAATCTTTTCGAGATCAGTACCAGTAAGTCTATATGTTGTTGAAACCGCCTTGATTTTTCTAGTAACACTCATAGCTTTGCACTTCGTTGCATTAAAAACAAGGCCTGAGGCGACGGACCAGGTCTGCAAGCTGTCAAGATCAGACTGTAGCAAATTAGTATCCTCTAGATTTCTAATTTGTCTGCCCATCTTTATATCATCAGCATACATTGTAGCACGACTATTAGAAATTGATTTTGGCAAATCGCTAACGTACAACAAGAAGAAAACAGGACCCAATATGGATCCTTGGGGCACCCCGGAAGTAACAGGAAGCTCATCCGAAGTAGCACCCATAACGGTAACACGTTGTCGACGTTCAGATAGGTATGAGCGAAACCACTTAAGCAAATTTCCACTGAAACCAGCCTTGTATAATTTCTGTATCAATCGATTGTGGCTGACCATGTCAAATGCCTTTGACATGTCCAAATACACAAGATCTATCTGTTCTCCGTGGTCGAGTAATGAACCAACATGATCTAGCGCCTCGAGTAAATTAGTAACACACGACTTTCCAGTTAAATATCCGTGTTGACATGCTGGAATTGACTTATACAACTGATCTTTGATGTTGTTTAATATGCAACGTTCTAAGACTTTTGAAATTACTGACAATAGAGATATTGGACGATAGTTTTCTACATGTTCTCGTTCGTTCTTTTTATAAATAGGAACCATGTTGGCTAATTTCCAATCCCTCGGCATTTCTCCAGTCCTTAAAGATTTATTAAATAATTTGCACAAAGATGGTGCAATTACCGATGCAGTTTCTTTTAGCAGTTTGGCAGGAATTCCGTCCGGTCCGGTAGCTTTACTAATATCGAGAGTTTTAAGAATTTCTTGCACTTCTGTGACTGAAAGAATCAACGAATCAACCAACGTGTCGGCAATACATTCTGTAACTTCGCACGATGCATCTAGACGTGAGTCCTCTGTGATGGTATATACGGAACTAAAGTACCTGTTAAACAAGTTCGCAATTCCCTCTGGAGTGTCAGCATTTTCTCGCGGATTTGACTGCTCTGCTGTTTGATGACTGTGTATTTCATTTTCCATAGAAACTAAACCAGGTATATCTCTGGATTTTGATTTTAATTTCAGAATTGACCACAAGCGCTTTGGATTTGTTCTAAAATCAGCATTTGCCAACTCAAAGTAACTTTCACGGGCTTCTTTAAGTGACTTCTTTACTTCGGTCCGCATACATCTGAATTTATATTTCAGACATTCTGTAGGACGAGATCTTAACTTTTGGCGAAGGGTATTTTTCCTCCTAATCATATTCAGTATAGTGCCGTTTATCCATGGTAATGGGTTACGACCCATTAGTTTCTTAGATGGTATAAAATCGTTCACAGCAGCCAAGAAAACATCCTTCCACTGCTGCCAATCCCTGTCGATATCATTGTCGCCCTCTGATATAAACGACGAGAGGTTGATCGCATTTAAGGAATTTCGCAGGCCTTCAAAGTCACCATTAGCATAATCAAAAACTGACCTGCTTGTTTTTAAGGGCGCCTTTACGAAGGAGTTAATTTCGAAAACAATGGCAGAGTGATCTGTAAAAATTCCTGTTCTCTCAGACGACAATACTTCAGTTACTTTGGTGAGATCATTGTTACTGCTGATAACGAGGTCAAGAATATTATCGCTTCGGGTGGGCGTCTTATTAATTTGTGATAGAAAATGATCGTTTAACGCCTCAACAAGCAGCAATTCACGAGCACCAGCTACACTAGCCGTCGCGTCCCAAGGGATTCCCGGTAAATTGAAATCACCACATAGCACGATGTTATTAAAATTATCACAGGCCAGATTTAGGAAGGTATTGAATGAATCTGCCCAACTTGTTCCCAATTCCGGCGGACGATAACATGAGCAAAATAGGGTTTTCTGACCTGTAACCGTTTCAACTGCAGCCGATACAATCTCTAGTTCTGCCAAATTAAATGGTAGGCGAAATTCACGAACACTTTTAAAGGTACTCGCTTTGATAGCAATCAAAACACCGCCTGCTCGTCGAAGCGGTCGGTCCTTTCTGAATATAATATAACCGTCGTGAAGAATTTCCGAACTATCTAAGCTCTCGTTGAGCCATGTTTCGTTAACGCACACGATATCCGAGTCTTCCGAGTATACAAAGTCCTGAAAACGATGTAGGTTGCATACGAGTTCCGTCTGCCCATCAGTGCCTGTGATTTTGTGTAGACTCTTTAGACTTCTTGCATTTAACACCAAACACTTGTAAGTGGGAGAAACCGCGTTTGTTATTCGACCAGGGCCAGGATGTGTCGCGATATCGCCGCACAAGAGTAATAGGCCGAAGACATATCCGCTAAAGCTTGTAAAGTCACGAGAATATCGGAATCGAAAGCCCATTCTGCAATCGACATTTTCTTCCTTGTTTGGCAGAGTTGGCTTGCAAAACCTCCACAACAAATGGAACCTCTTAGGTGCAAACACTTCACAACAATAGTCAGATGAAACTAGGACAAATTTTGTGACTAAAATCACAAGAATAACAGAGCTCGAAATTAGACGTCTTTCCGCCATCACGTCATATGAGCAAATTCGCCTAGTGGAGAACAGGCTTTAGTTATAATTAATAGAAGGTGTTATAATTATAAAAAGTACAGTACTGTTTTAAACGGTTTTTATATACAGTAGTTAGGTAGTCAATTTATGCCAAATAAAATAGCCCACAGTTTATACATCCTTTGAGGAACATTTGAAATAGGCGAACTTAGCATTCGAAGAACATTGGATACTTTTTCCAAGTCTAATTTTATTAATTATTACTCAATAGCATCACATATATCTATCTCTTCCTTACACCGTTACTAAAAGAATTTATGATTAAAATGAAAGAAATTCAATTTTTTAAGTTTAAACTAAGTTTAATTTAATTAACATTAATTCTATGTACTCCTAATGTAAATTATATTATTAAACACACTATTTGCTGGGAAAATCCGCTGGCGCACTGCGGGTGCAATGTCTGGCCATGAGTCATATGTTCAAGCCTGCATGCTGGTATAGGTAAAATCATCATGCCATTCTATTTGGCAACCTGGTGGAACCACGGGGCTTCCATACAGCTGGAGCGATATTTTAAAGATGCCAGAATGTTAAAATAACAGTTCTCCACAAGAAAGTTTAAAATCAACCAAATAATCAGTGGTCGGTTATACGAAGGCCGGATAGCACTATTCACCGACCGTTGAAACTGAAGCTACTTTAAATATGGAACTTACAATTAGATAGACAGATAGAAAGATGGTTTATGTCATATAAACATTGTAGCCAATATAGACTGAATTACGCATATTTTACAGTTCAAGAAAATATTAAAATACTATACAATAAATGTCTCTATAAAAGGATCTAAGAACATTCTATGTTACGACTTATAATTTTAATTAATGCATTATGAGTATTATGTATAATAAAACTATTTTTAAAACGGTTAGTTTTGAAATGCAAGGTTAAATATATGACTTGATTTAAGAGTCATATTAACGGTGGTGGAAGAAGTTTATAAAGCTTATGGTTATAATCAGTCACTATTTATTCAAATAGTTTTGTCTTGAAATACGGTCTCTTCGGTCGCCGAATCGTTGGAGGCCAGATGTTTATAAAGCGTCTTCAATTTATAAATGATGAAGCTTAATTATTAATTAGGGTTATACCAGTCTTTGAAAAATTCACCATCCAGTGGATAGTGATATTCGGCTTTCTGACAACTGGCCCTTGATTTTTAAGTGCTTAGGTGCTTTTTTTCAATTACGATATGATACATGCGTGCATACTTTGGTCATTAACGTGGCACTCCGCTATCGGGACATTTTTCACGGTTTTTGACCAGACTTTTATCGCTTGCTTTTGAATTCTCTGTCCCAGACCGTCCCGCGTTGCCTGCCGCAGCGATAAAGTTGTCTTTAAATTTTTCTCCATAATACAATAAGAAATAGATTGCAATTACATTGCTGCTATTTTTAAAATTATAGTGTTAAAAAACGTATACTTATTATACATAGCATAAAATACAGCATACCTGTGCTTGTTGATACGTTTGGTTCCAATGTTTCGACAGGTTTTGCCGTACAATCACCGCTTTCTCGTTGCCCTGAAAAAAATTTTTGCGGTTAGTATATTGGGACATCAAAATTCATATTTATGTATATGTTTTTTCCGAAATCGTCAGACACCTGCTGATTATATAACCGCATATACATATACATATACATATATATATATATATATAGAGAGAGAGAGGAAAAGTTTATTAAAATTTACACATCGCAGTCCGGGGACTGAGTTACGTGTCAATTACAAAATAATTTACATCCTACTTCTACTAACTATTATGCATGTAATACTAAAACTTACATTAGAATATCGAATATCGATATGTATGAATTATAAGAATATGAATTATATTAAAAATATCTACTATAAATATTTATTAGGGTCTTATCGTTGAACTTTTGAAGCGTAATAGTTAATAAAACTGTCTTTAAAACGATTCGTCTTCAAAACCGGCAAGTCATATTTTGAAGTGGACCTAAGATTTATATTATTGGAATTTAGTGGTGGTAGTAAATCCGCTAATTTATGGTTATTGTTAATCGATACTGAGTTAAAAAGTTCTCTGTATATAGTCTGTCTCTTCTATCCGCCAAGGATTGTAGGCCTATTAATTTTAACGCGTCACCATAACGTTCCTCTGGGTAGAGCATGCGAAGAGCTCGTTTCTGTATTCTTTCAATTTGATTAGACAAATACTCTGGCAAATTGCTATGAAATGTCTGGCAGGCATATTCTAGAGTTGATCGGATGCATGTACAGTAGAATTACACTAAAGAATTTACGTCCACACCTGCTCTTTTTAATATTCTTAGAAGATATAGCCGCTTTGATGCCTTATGGGTAATCTCGGCTACATGATCATTCCATTTAAGATCTTCCCTAATAGTTACACCAAGAATTTTTGCAGATTGCACGACTTCAAAAGCTAGGTCGTTGACAGTTATTGGATCGTCTATATGTCGATGTCTAGTAAAGTCAATGCGGAGCTCTTTACATTTCAGAGAATTTAACTGAAAATTATTTTCGTTCGACCAGCAATTTATGTACCTGTACCTGTAGTCTACTTGATCCGGTTTTTGGGATAATTTCGGAAACTGTAGTGTCGTCTGCAAATTTCCACAAATCAGAGGAGTTACTAGGTATCGCTAAATCATTTATCATCGCTAAATCATTTATCATCGCTAAAAATAGCCAAGGACCAATCTTAGTACCTTGCGGAATTCCAGCTGGAACTATTTCGGAATTTGAAAAGCAATCCGAATTAAGCGTTAGACGCTGTGATCTCCCACGTATAGAAAGTCAGCAATCCAGTTTGACTCAAAGGCTAAAATGTTTGGCAATTAAAGTATTGTGGTCCACTAAGTCAAATGCTTTTCTGTAATCCAGAAGTGCAACCCTGACGCGCGAACCAGTGCCATCCGTGTTTTCCAACCAGCGATGTAACATCGAAATTAAAGCAAAATTAGTACATGAATTGGGCACAAAACCAAATTGATTTGGATCCATTGCTTTCAGCAGCGTAGGTCTTATTTCCTGCTCGATGATGCATGACTCAGCAATCTTGGATAAAGTTGGTGTTAATGAGATTGGTCTTAGATCTTTATTGAAGTCTTCAATGGCAACTGTTTTTGGTAAAGGTGTAACAGTGGCCAATTTCCACACACGAGGTACTTTTGATTCCCGAAAGGATGCATTAATTATGTTTGTGATGGCTGGGGATAATATATCAGAGAATGTTTTTAAAACCCAATTGGGTATACCGTCAGGGCCTCCCGCTCTTGATATGTTGATCTGCCGAAGTTTTTTCGCGATTGACTCCTCGTCCACTACAATTGGTTCATCATGGTCCGTCAACACGCATACGTCCTCAGATAACAGCGTATAATTGTCCATTACACTAACAAAGGCTTTCATAATTTCATTAGCCAGATCTTGATCACTACTCTCTGTATTTGTTCTTAATATCGACCGAATATCTCTTCTCGCTGCTTTAGACGTGCAACAAAACTGCTTTACTTCTCGCCACCAATCACGGGGTTTGGTATGCTGTAAATCTTGTACCTTGTTCTTGTAGTATATCATTTGACATCTTTTCCTCTCACGATTAACTTTGTTTCGCAACAATTTATAGAGAAACACGTCACCCGAGGAGAAGGCTTTTTGTCGTCTCTTTATAAGTTGTTTTAAGTTAGCATACATCCAAGGTTTATCCGTTTTGTGGACTTTAATAGAACGCTCAGGCATAATCGTGTCCAAACCGTATCGTATTATTTCAGTAAATATATTCAACTTTTCGTCGCTAGACTGGGTTTTAAACAGCAGGTTAGTCCACGGGATCTTCATGAAGAATCGGCCGAGACTTGCGATTGTGCTGCGTTTCTTTGGACGAATTCTAATAGTTTTCCTTTGTAGTTTCAATCTTTCGTGTACTTTTGGAAATACAATAATAGTTATATGATCTGACAGCCCAAAGGGAGGATTTTTTGTTGGAGGTTGATAGTATATATACATATATATATATATATATATATATATATATATATATATATATATATATATATATATATATATATATATATATATATATATATATAAAGGATGGAGTTCTTTTATATATTACCTGAGAGACATAAAATATATATTTATTTTACTTCCTATCACCATATATATATATATATATATATATAGTTATATATATATATATGTAGTTATATATATATATATATATATATAGATTGTCTATATCTTAAAATTAAATATCGCTACTCTGAGTTTCACGTCCTTTCTAGACGATCATCAGGCGATTTTGTTCACGATTTTGTTACTGATTACGTGATTGCATCATCATCAGGACGTGAAAAAAAAAAGGATTTTTCTATTGCATCATCATCATCATCATCATCATCATCGTCATCATCATCAGGACGTGAAACTCAGAATAGCGATATTTAATTTTAAGATATAGACAATCTAATAAGCTCTGCTATACTTTTAGTATTGAGCACTTTATATATCTAGACAACCAAAATAAATTGAATTATATATATATATATATATATATATATATATATATATATATATATATATATATATATATATATATATATATATATATATATATATATATATATATATAACTAAAGACGGTACCGTTTCGCTCTTTTAATTTGGGCCTCATAAACGTACTTATCATAGCATAAAGTACAGGATACAGTACCTAAGCTTGTCGACACGCACGGTTCCAGTACTTCTGCTGGCTTTGAACAATAACCATTTTCTCGTTGCTCTGAAAAAAATAATTTTGCTATTACATGGTGACATCAGATACAATAAATCCCCGTCACGTGCCAAGCCCTAACCCTAACACTAATCCTAACCCTAATATAATCTTAATCTGACCGAAAGCTTAATAACCCCGATCCATAAATCAGGAAACTCCCTCGATCCAAACAACTACCGAGGTATTTGTGTCTCAAGCTGCATGGGCAAATTATTTTGCTCAATTTTGAATAATAGATTGATGAATTTCGTAAACGAAAAGCAATTAATCCACCCAACTCAAATTGGATTTATGCCTGGAAATAAAACGGCTAACCATATTCTCACGCTGAAAACTCTGCATGATAAATATGTCAAACAGAGTGAGAAAGAAAAAATCTATGCATGTTTTGTTTACTTTAGAAAAGCTTTTGATTCTGTTTGGCAACAAGGCTTATTTTACCAACTTATCAAAACACGATTAATTCAACGATTTAATTCAAGACCTCTACTCAAACACGAAATGTGCAATAAAACTATCTGAAAACAGAACACCGTTTTTTCCTTACGAAAAGGGAGTCCGTCAAGGATGCATTTTAAGCCCTTTATTATCAGATATTATTTATATAAACGATCTCCCAAAAATGTTTCAACAAACACAATTAGATCCATTTTTATTACCAAATGGAACTACTATCAACAGCCTACTCTATGCGGATGATCTCATTATACTTTCACGAACTGTCTAAACCAAATAAATGAATGGTGTAGTAAATGGCTAATGGAAGTCAATATCAAGAAAACAAAAATTATGATTTTTCAAAAACACAACTCGAAATTACCAAACCTTCATTTCCACATTGGAAATAAAAAGATATAGATATAGTCAAAGAATATACCTATCTTGGTCTCAAACTAATACCAAATGGGAAATTTAAACTCGCACAACAACAAATAAGCGAAAAAGCTTTGCATGCTCTTTATAAAATTCGTAAAAATCTAGATTTTCATAAATTTTCACCAAAAACAGCAACAAAAATTTTCGACTCAATAATTTCCCCCATTCTACTATATAGGTTCGGTCACACGGAGCGACAAGTCGCAGGGGCATGTTGCAGGGACATGTCGCCCGAAACGAGTCACACGAAGCGACAATGCTAGGCGAAAACAAGTCGCACAAGCGCTTATAGGCGCGTGGTCACACGAGGCGACAATTCATGCGACAAGTCGCAGTGATGATCATCCTTCGGTTACAGTTGAAAGGAAAACTTGGGCTCGAAACTTGCACTCCATGATGATGTGGTATCCGCCATATTGAAATTGAGCGTGCAAGTAGTCATGGGAATGATATTTTGTGATTGGTCAGACTAATTATTTCCCCACGACTTGTGAACAGACTAGCTCACACGATGCAACAAGTTGCGGCAACGGTTTTTTCCCCGCGACACGTCGCATGAAATCAAATCAATTTGATTTCATGCGACATGTCGCGGGCACAATTTTTTGTCCCCGCGACAACGCTTACACATGTGACACACGATGAAATTCGACCCCGCGACATGTCCCTGCAACATGCCCCTGCGACTTGTCGCTCCGTGTGACCGAACCTTATAACTCAGAAGTCTGGGGAGCATACGAAAAAAATGATCTGAATAAATGGGATAATTCAGAAACTGAAAAAAATCATTTAAGATTTTGCAAACTATAGCTGGGTGTTAACAGAAAAGCCAGTAACGTGGCTTGCAGAAGTGAACTTGGGAAATACCCATTGCTGATTACAATAAAAAAGAATATACTAAACTATTTTAAACATATTCTTAAACTAGACAACAACTCAATCGTTAACCAATCCTTCCTAATGTCTAAACAACTATTTGAAAAAGGCAAAGAATCTTTCTACACCAAGGCAATAAACATGCTAAAATCATTTTATGATAATATAAACTTGGAAAGTGATATAATCAACTACGATACAAAAACTATTGTAAATAAGATGAAAGATAAATATTTTGAATTTTGGTGACATTAAATGATTAACTCTTCCAAACTATCTTTCTTTTGTACATTTAAAAACGGGTACAAAATGGAAGAATATTTATCCCTTATTGATAACCCATTTTCTCAATATAGAGTAAGTAATCATAAATTGCAAATTGAGCGAGGAAGATACGAAAATGTTACTCGTGAACAACGTTTCTGCAAACTTTGCAACACTGGTGAAGTGGAAAGGGAATATCACTTAGCCTTATCTTGCTTGAAATACGAAGAATTAAGAAATAATTCTAACAACATTCTCAAAAACCTATTTTATCTCAATAACACAATGGAAGGAAAACAAAAACTGTTTGAGCATGCGATGTCTTGAGACGATCCAGTTCTTGTTAACCTGCTTTCTAAGTATATCTTTCCCTGTTTTTTGGAGAGAAATAAAAGCATCAAATCCATGGAAGATTAGGGATAACAATTAGACTAAAAATCCCTTAAGCTTAGATAAATTACTAAAACAAAATAAACAAAAAAAACCCATTATATCTTTAAATTATATACTGTTTTCCTATTTGTAAATAGCTTCTTACTGTATATTTTAATAGTTATAGCTTCGACACTATATATATATATATATATATATATATATATATATATATATATATATATATATATATATATATATATATATATATATACCTGTAATTAGGTCATGCAAATAATGCTTTATAATATAAACCCCAATCTAATCTTTATCTGACATTAATCTGATCTAAATTACATTTTTTTGTACGTTTTATGTTTTTGTATGTTGAGCGCTCCGCGGAGTTCTTAATGGGTGTCTATATGAGCGATAATGCAAAGCTCACTTCCCTTGTGGTGAGAGTAAGTTCATGCGATATAAATATGAATTCATCACTTATCTTGACGTGTACAAAGCTGCACTGACAAGGCGTAGAACGCCGAAGCATGCATGTCTGCAGATTGTACTATTAC